GAAGTGAAACTTTTTTTTATAAAATTAGGCTTAGCGATGCAAAACCTCCGTCCTGCATGATGACAGCCTTTAATTCCCTTCTGTCCCACATGAGCGTCTTAAACAAAGGTGCGCCATTACGAAAAGGTTAAGGCACTGGGAAAACACTTGTTATCACAGGAACTCCTAAACAATCTAATATACAGCCCAGAAAATAGCCGTAAAGCTTACATATTAGTCAGAAATGACCACACATCTTATTAAATTTTTCTATGCATATCTAAAAAGTTATAACACTAACTTTTGCCTAGAATACTTTATGTCATATTTCCTATGTTCTTATTCAATTTTAATTTTTTCAGAATTAAGCAATTTTGCATTACGAAGATATGTCAGATATTATAAAATGATCTTGTGCAGTTCCATGTTCTTAGCAGCAAAACGTGAATTCAAGTTATCATTGTTTGTTCTTTAAATTTTTCCACCAGTATAATAATAAAATAAAAATAAAGGACCAATGCCTGTGATATCATTATAACAACATTGTATAAAATGTATGCTCTCATCAGTGTATTAGAAAGCAGGATCAAGAAGAAAGCAAGATGTCAGTAGTGTATTAGAAAACAGGATCAAGAAGAAAACCCAAAGAAGGCAACAGCTATTAGTGGTGCAGTACACATAGGCAGAAATCAAAGTGATATTTACGAAAGCAGGAAAAGATGCAAGGATCAAAATGAGTCGTTCACAAAATTTTAAGTCTAACGGCTGACCTTTTCTTGTTTTATTGTTACTTTTCTACAACACAAATGGTGAGTAACACCATTTACATAATATCAATCAGGGTTCGTACACATTTCTGCACACGGAAATTAAGGACTTCTAAGGACCATTAATGAAAAAATTTAAGGACCTACAAGCAAATAGGAACTGAATAAATTTAATTAAAAATATTATTCTATGCCTGAATTTCACTTTTGTAATACCATCCTAAAAATAAAATAGATCCCTAAGTAGTATGCATTATTACTAAACATGAATTAACTAATATAATTATTAATAAGTTTGAGAATAAAATAAACTTCATGCAGTTTATCAAGTAGCATTAAATATTTTACACTTACAATAGTTGGACATATTTGAAAGAAGATATGTGACATTTATGTTTTACTAATAGTTAGCTGCTTTTTATATATATATATATATATATATGTCACATACTTGCTCAGTCTAGAGGTTTAGCAAATAGTAGGGAGATTTTATGTCAAATGGCATAGGTTAAAATGAGAAGTGAGATCATAATGACTGAATGTTGTCCCTTTGCTGCTTGTCTATAGAGAGACCTGCTGATTGGAACAAACCTGAAAGGCCTGATGTAAGCACGGTTGTCAAGTGTTGAAAGTTAGTCAGGCTCTGCTTAATGCAGTTAATGTCGTAGCTTTATGTAGAGTTCCAGGTGTTGTAACCCAGTTACGATATTTTAAGGTTCCAATAAGCCATTAAAGCACCAGAGGTGATAAGTTGTTGTATTATTATTATAGTCTATTATTATTATATAGTATTATTATAGTCTATTATGTAACTATTATAAGTCTCAGTAGATGCAAAGAATAAGTTTTACTTGAATTTTTACATTTTTGTGTTTTATCTTGTGACCACAGTGAATATTAATGAAAGGCAATAACTCGCTTTAATATGTAGAGATAATTTTTAAGGGTAAGTAGTTAGTTATAAATAATTAAATTAGGTAACTAGATAACCTTAGTCATTATGGATTTACATGGCCACTATTAAATTTTATTTTTTAACAATATTTATTAAAAAAAAGCCCTATTAAAATCAAAATCTAATAAAATTTTGCAGTTTAAAATCCATGTAATTTATGACACTGATTCTAAACAATATTTGGATAATTACACATACAACAACACTCAACAAAATATTTATCCGTCATTTTAATTTGAAGCATATAAGGTATTTTTCTCACCTTTTGGCGAGCCTTCGTGTAGTGGTTTGCACATTGAACCGGTATTCCAGAGGTCCGCAGTTCGATTCCCAGCGAAGGCGTTATTACTTTTTCATCTTTCCTGCTTTCAAAAATACCTAATGTCGCTACAATGACACCCGAACCGAAATTGTGTTGGATGTTGGTTCTCCACACCCAGGATTTGGCAATTGGATCCCCTAAAAACCCCAGTCGCCCTTTAAAAGGAGGAGTATATAAGGTATTTCTCCCACCTTCTTGGCAACTCTTGGTGGTGTAGTGGTTTGCACACTGGGCCGGTATTCTAGAGGTCCGCGGTTCGATTCCCGGCGACACCATTGTTAATTTTTTATCTTTCCTGCTTTCAAAAATACTTCATGTCTCTACAAGACTTCTCAAACATTTTGGCTAATTTATATTGATTTCCTTCTCTTTATAAGCGATCCTCTCTGAACAATAATTAGAAATTTGTCTTCAATATGCAAACCAACCAATGTTCTCGCTAGTTTCTGTGTGCTTTATCTCCTAACTTGTCAATCTCTCCACAATGTACCTATGAGGGTTTACTTGAATTAGTAAAAGTTAAATAGTCCCAACCCTCCCCCCCCCCGATAGATGTGAAGCAAATTATCACTGTGTTTTATCATTGTGTTTTAACTACAATATCAGACAAAGAACATAACGGCATATTCTGATGCTAACAAAGTCAATTACAGCTCATGATGACATAATTAAACAAGAACAGTCAAATTCAAACTAAAAATGTGGACTAGTGGTCAAAGATTATACAGTTTAATTTTAATTTAATCTGGCTCAGTAACTCTATCAGAGGAAACAGAAAAGGGAAGTTATAGTAAACGTTGAAATCATAAACAATTGGGTAATTTACATAATAATAACTGCACATATCTTTGAAGAATAATTTTCTTTATGTATTCGGTTTCTTTCCTCAACGTGTTTCCTTTTAATTTTAGAATTTTTTGGATTTAATTAAGGATTTCTGTTATTCTAAAAAACACTAAATGCATTTAGAATGTACAGAAAAAGCGGCCAATTTTATTTCTTTAGTAATATGAACATTCAGAAGAAATATCAAATATATATGGTACAGGCCGGTTGCAGAACTGGTGTGGCAGAATTTTTAGAATTTAGTGACATACAGAACAACAAAAATTAGAAATGGCAAAACTTTTAGAATTTAGAGCAGGCACTGGAAGCAGAATTTAGATAGGCACTAGGCAGCAGAATTTAGGATACACAGAGATTGCAACAGGTGGGAAAATGCATAGCACCAGCTCCATGTACGATGCATTTAGACATATTAGATGAATCTTTTAAATTGTAAGTTTTCAATTTCTTTAATCAAAAAAAAAAAAAAACTCTGTCTATGATGCATAATGCCTTCCCATGTGATAAGATTAGAAGCATTTTTGATATTTTTCACGCTTGTGTCTAGTGAAAAGTAGAGAAAAGAAAGGGAAGAACAAACATGTTAAGAAAAAAGATTCTAGTATCAGGAGTAAAACAATCAAATATTATGTTTCCATTGTTCTTCCAGACATTCTCCAAAAAGTAAGAAATTCATCACAAACTTTCTGTAAAATGCATCCATTACATGTTGATACCCTGAAGACATTTTTCATTTTGTCACATATTTCTCGAACCTTCTAGAATCGTGGGTCTATAAATCTTGCCTTCAAATCCTTCTAAATTTTCCATGCTGCAATGTCAAAAATACTAAAGAAAAATTATCCCAACCAATTCTGTAACAGCAAAAAGCCAGAAATATTTTGGGGAAAAAAGGATGGAAAAAGTGTAAAATTAATTTTATAGAGAAAAACTGATGCATATTCTGAGAATTTTGAATAATCTGAGACATTGGAAAAACGCTTATTATAAAAAAATTAAAAAGAAGACATTTTAATTAATTACATAGCTAATTTTGCTTTTACTAAGAGTTGTTTCATAAATTATGCTTTATAGCTATATAACTTATTTTTTCAGATTTAAAATATTGCATAATAAGTTGCCAAAATGAAACTTTAAGAGTGAAAAATAAAAATGTTTTATTTTAATGTTATTTTTTAAATATCGAATATATTACCATTATTTTAATAAAATTTATCAACGTTATGATGTTTTAAAAAAAATCGCCGAAAAATTCTCAGATCTCGGAATTAAAATTTTTCTATAGAAACTGATCTTAAAATCACCAAAATGTCGACAAGTTGTCAAATCTAGAACCATTAAATAAAAGAATTCACAAACCCCAAAAGCGAAAAGTTATTTAAGAGCTCTTTATTAGAAAAAATTAATTTTGGAATGCTTAAGTTTCACTTCTTGCTTAGAAACTTGAGTAGCCCATCATTTATATTAGAAATAGAAACAAATTATAACCCATGAACCTATTCAAAAGATAACCATATATGTCAGTGAATCACCAAAAATATTCCTCCAAAGTGCTAATTCACACTCAAAATGGCAGTCGTAAAAACAGAAATTTCAGATGATTAAAATTAAGGACCTTTTACCGATTTTGGGGAAAATTAAGGACTTTTGAGGACCGAAAATCGATTTCAAAAAATTTAACAACTTTTAAGGACCGTATGAACCTTGTCAATATATAAAAATCACAAGATGCACAATAAAACTAGCTAAAGTAGCTAGTGACTACTTAGCCATTATTCCACTTCAGAGTCATATATGAAAGATACAAATAACGAAATACTTGTTCCCTCTGTTTTTGCTTAAATGTGTTTCATTCTTGAATTTAATTTTATGCTTTCAAAAATTACTATTAATACTTACTATTACTTCAGATTCAATTTTGCAAGCTCTAGTTTCTTATTAGTTATATTTATTGTTTAATGAAATAAGAAATTCAAACACATCAATTATAATTAAAATAAAATTGTACATTTTTACCTAAGTAGCAGTTACATTATTAACAAAAAAATATTTCTATCCCAGTTAATAAGAAACAATAACTAATATCTTCTGATTACAGAAACTTAAAACTATATACATAATATATGCTTACTTTTTATCCTGCACTTTAGCATATAGTTTTCGAGCACGATCCATGAGTTCATTCACTTTAGACTTATCTTTCATCATTTCCGAATTAGCTGCTAAGAGTGACTGTTCAGTTTCCTGAAATGCTTCAGCTAAAGTAGATCTCTCAGCTTGTAGGAAATCAATATTTTCTCTAGCTTCATTCAAAGAAGCTCTACACTCTCTTAACTGCTTGGCTAACTCTTCCCGATGAGAAACAGCTTCATCTAAATACAGCTGTTTCTCTTGAAGTGCCTCTTGGCACTGCTGAAGTTCAAGGTTTGTGGTGGCAAGATGATTTTCAAGTTCTTGCACTCTTCCTACAGCTTCTACCAGTTCTACAATAGAAATTAAACTTTCATAAATAAAATTTGAGTATGAAACCTACAAGTGCAAACGTATACCATACTAATTCAAAAACTAAATAATACAATGAACTTTTCTTTCTTAACTTGAATTCATAAGCATCTAGCAAAGCTACTCAAATTATTAAAAATGCAAATATCTGACAGTATTCCAGAAATAATTTCTTCTTAACACTAGAACGGCAGTAAAATCTTACCTACTAGTACGGCGGTAAGGGATCATTTTAACCCTTTGGTGAAAGTACTGAAATAACAATGGTAAAACAATTTTAAATGCCATACATTGCCACAAATATGTACTTTATTCTATTTAATGTTTAAAATATTAGAGATTACACATACATATTAAAAATTAATGCAATTGATACAATAATTTTTAACAATTTTTCCAGTGCATTTTCCGCACATAACTTTGGAACAAGATGCACAATATTCTTGAGATTTGTTTCCATTGCATCTCTATACTTGACTCTTTTTTCTCTTTATATCCATTTTCATGTGTTTTTTCTGAAGACTCAGGAAGGAATTTTGGGAGTTTTGAAGCCATATGTACCATTCAATTCCTCTCCTAATTTCAGTAGAAAATCTCTCCTGTTAATGGTGTTTCCTATTACACTTTTATAAATTATCCAGACGTTCAAATCTGCATGATCCAAAATATTGAAAAAGATTATACAAGCCATCATCTATAAGCTGATTTAACTGAATGTTTTCGGCACATCAGATCGCGAATATCCACACCATACTTTGTTGCGTTGTAAAATGCTATTGAATCGGGCAACTTCTTGAGACTGTTACAGTACTGTTTTTACAGTAGAATGTAATAAGCTCAGTAGAAAAACGCTTTTGTTTCTTTTGCCTTGATAGATGATCATATCACACTTACCATCTATCAAGGCAAGTGTGATATTATATATAGTGTTTCACTATTGTTGATGAATAAAGATTACTATGCATATTTTTCAAAGATATAGGAATTTCTCTTCTATTCTTTTTCATTATTGTTGATGAAATATAGTGTTTCACTATTGTTGATGAATAAAGATTACTATGCATATTTTTCAAAGATATAGGAATTTCTCTTCTATTCTTTTTCATTGTGCTGACCATTGTTGTATTTTTTATTTTAGCATTTCTGCTAATTTAATGCCAGTAAAATAGTTATCCATGGTTATCCGCGGTAATATTCCTCCCTTTGTTTAGAATGTCGGATCCATTTAATTTTATGGACAACATTTTCAGACAAACGTAATTGAGGATTTGTTGTTTCATCTTTTGCTACATAAGGAAATCCATTCAAGAGGTATTTAGTATCAATGTCAACAGATAACCAAATTTTTTTCCAAATTTGTCAGGTTTATAAGGCATATATTGTCTAAACTTACACCTAGCTTCAGATGGAAATGATTGTTCATCAACTGTAATATTTTGTCCTGGCCAGTAGCATGTTTTGCAGTTTTCAATAAATTTGTTCCACATGTCTGGTGCAAGAGCAAATTTATCAGCCTGTAATAAAGTAGATCTTGTTGTCTTTTCATCAAACCTTAAAAATTGTTTTATTTCTTTGAATCTATCTCTTGATATAGTTTCTTTGCATAATAGTATCCCACCCTGCTTCAGACCAAGGGGAATATAAATCTAAGTTCTCTCCTATTACTCCTCAAACATACAACATAGTGACAAAAGCATCTAACATCAACCAGAGATAACTTCCAGTCTTTATTTCCAAGTTGCCGATGAGCTTCGGATTCTGTACATTTCTTTATATGCAGCAAGATATCATCATCAATAAAAAGCTTGAAAGCACTAGACACTTCGTCCTCAGAAGCACGACTCTTTGCAAAAGTTGTTGGTCCTGCTGTTTCTTTTAGAACATAAGCAGGAACACGGCCGCAGACTGAATTTTTGGAATTTATTTCATTCCATATAGTGTTATCAGGAACTGTAAAAGCAGTTTTGCAAATACCCTGATCCGTGTTTGCTCATTTATTTCTACTGAGTTCTTTGTTTACTTCGCTCTCCTCGGATTCACTAACAGTTTGTGTCTGGAATTCATCTTCAGTTTCTACAGAATAATTATCAATTACCTCAAAGACTCATTTTCAGATAGCTCTTGCAATAAATTTTTTAATTTCTTCATCCGTCTTCATCCGTACATCTTTTCCACTTATTAGTCATATTTTGTAAAAGTAGAAAAATATCAGACTATCAGAAAACGATAAGAAATACCTTATAGCATATGATTCTCACATCGCAAAAGAAAGGTGATAATAAACTTGATGGCAGAATTCATATGTACTGAATACTGATTTGGGATTACCAAGAAAACATCTGTCCTAAATGTTATCACCTGCAGTAAGTAAACTGAACTAACAAATGGGAAAATAAATGTGTAAAATAAACTATTTCTGAAAAGAAATGTAAGCATGAAAAACCCTGCATATACCTTCCTTGCAGTATTTTCTTCAAACGAATAGATAATTGCTAACAAAGGAACAACTTATGTAGACATTACAAAGTAGTGAAACCACCAAGGTTTTTATCCCTGTGGGAGATAATATGAATGCAATCGAAAAATCCTTATCAGTGAACGTTTTTCATGAGTTATTTGACAATGCCTCAAGTAGAAAGAGGGATAAAAGTAAAGGGGTCAAAATGACCCCTATCCGCTGTTCTAGAAATACATGCCAATATTTCAAAAACTAATAAACCTAGAATGCTGAAAATTTTTTTACAAATATTTATCTATTTAGGAAAAGTCAAAAAATTCCGAACGATTTCTCCCAATAATACAAAAGTAATCAATGGTCAAAAGTGTTCAGGAGTCAAAATGACCCCTACTGCCGTTGTAGTGCTAAATATGATTTTTAGGTCTCCAGCTTTAGCTTGAATTAACTTGATTATCCAAATTATCCAAATTAATGAGAAGTCATTACACTTAAAATAATTTAACACTTCATGAAGGTTACATAATTTTTTTGTTTTTTTTTTTCCAAAAAAAAAAAAAAAATGAAATCAGTACCAGGCCATTCCAAAAATTCTGAGTTTTTTCAAATCACAGAACTTTTGGATTTCCATGGTTTTTCTAATTGCATGCATTTTTTTCTAATTATTTTGTTACTGTTGATATCTTAACTGATGCAAATGTTTCAATATGGTCTTTTCTGCTCCCACTGCACAATTCTTTGTGGCATAATTTTTGTTCCAGTGCAATGCTAATAATGGACCACCCAAAAGTTCATTTTCCTCATATATTTTTTTTATTTTTAAAAAGAAGAAAAATTGGTAGTCAAACTGCTCATAAAATTTGCACTGTATTTGATGATACAATTTGAAAATGCTTTGAGAAGTGTGGAAATTTCAGCCCTAATGATGCTGCCTGATTTGGATGCCTATTTCTGTAAACAAGGACTTGTTAAAATAGACTATCGCTGAAAATCCAATTTGCACAATTCAGGAACTATCAGACAGAATAAATATTCCATAAAGTACAGCACATGATCATTTGAAGGAAACTGGGTATCTAAACTGCTTTGATGTATGGCTACCTCACATTTTAAGAGAGCAGAATGTGCTTGCTCAAGTTTTAGCATATGATTCTCAGCTGAAAACAATGAAGCTCCTTTTTTTGAAACAGCTCACTGACGGAGATGAGAAGTGGCCACGATACAATAATGTTACAAGAAAAACATAAAGTAAATCAAAAGAAGCTCCTTTTGATAGCATCAAAAAGGGGCTGCATCCCAAAAAAAGTAATCCTTTGTTGTATATAGTAAAACTACAAAGGAATTACCGTAATTTCCGGCCGCCGCGACGTTTACATGTTTAAAACTTAAATTTTCAGCGGTTGCGACGTTTCTACCCATGTGGCGTTTGAGTGCACTAAAAATAAAATATTTCCTATGATGGTCATTGTACGTAGTTTGGATGGCCTTGTCATTGTAGATAGACTGGTGCTGTTCCCACACAAAAAACCACTCAGTTGCTTTTTGCGAACGTTATTTTGTTTACATTCTTCCCTTGAACAGACCTACATGCCTTATTCACCCTATACCGGATCTCAGAACAATAACATTCTTCGCCCTTTCAAATCAACATTCTCATCAGTTTGAATAGTCTCTCTTCTCTGCTATTCGATGAATCTTCCAGACCCATCCTCTCCCCACCCCTACCTTTTCTGCAATTTTTTTCAAAGGCGGGCACGACTCCACCTGCCTCGCAATAAGGAACTCTGACGTATTTTCCCTTCAGCATGAATCGATTTTTCTTGGCATTCTGCCAAATACAGATCCCATCAGTTTAGGTACAAGTACTTGTTGGATAGTTTTTAAGTAAGAAGGGAGCGGAAAATTTTTGAAAATGGCACCTAAACGGCACAGAAGCTATACTGCTGGTTTTAAGCTTAATGTAATTTCACGTGATGAACAAATTGGAAATAGAGCAGCAGCTCGAGAGTTTGAAGTGGACGAGAGATGCATTCGACATTGGAGAACTGAAAAAGAACTTAAAAATATGCCACACACACAGAACCAAGTCCAAAAGTGGTACTGTAAGGTGGTCGAATCTAGAGGATGACTTTGCAAATTGGATAAAGGAGCAACGAGGAAAGGGAATGGCAATTTCGACTGTAAAAATTCACTTACAAGCAAAATTTATAGCAAAACAAATGAACATAAATGATTTCAAAGGAGAGCCTTGCTGGTGCAGCAGATTTATGAAAAGAAAAAATATTTCTGTGCGTACTAGAACAACAGTCAGGCAACAATTACCAATGGACTGACAAGATTAAAAAGGCATCTTTTCTAAAATATGTGACAGATATTATTGACAAAAAAAATCTTCTTTGGTCACAAATAATAAATATGGATGAAACGCCATAAGCTTTCAACTCTCCTGCAAACAGAACTGTTGATGAAACTGGTTCAAAAACTGTACCTGTGCTTACGACGGGGCATCAAAGAACGTCATTTACATGTGTGTTAGCATGTGCCGCAAAGGGTGACAAGCTAAAGCCGATGATCATTTTTAAACGAAAGACTATTCCGAAAGGAGATTTTTCTGATAACGTAATTATTTTTGCAAACGACAACAGCAGGATGTGCGAAACAAACATGCATGAGTGGCTACAAAAAGTTTTAGCAGTGTTGTAAGGGATCTTTTTCCAACCAAAAGGGTTATTGAGAATGGATTCCATGCATGCTCATTTACTTCAGTCAGTGAATACCAGATGTCAAAAACTGCTTACGATCGTAGCAATAATTCCTGGTGGTTTGACAAAAATCTTAAAAACCATAGATTTGTCAGGTAATAAACCTTCAAGCTGAAGTCCGAAAGCAGTGGGAGTGTTGGATGAGTGAAGGATTGCATATGTATACCAAAAGCGGTAAAATGCGTGGAGCATCTTATGAAGAAGTTGCAAAGTGGGTAGGAAGTGCGTAGAAATTGGTAAAAATGTCATAGAAATTGGTAAAAATTTCATCAATAATTGCAGGGTTCAAAGAAACTGACATTATATCCTTAGATAAAGAGACTGTAAACCAAGAGGATGAATGTTACGATCTGGAAGACTTGGACTTAGATCAGGTTTTACTAAATCTTTTTAATTCAGATAGTGAAGAATCAGATTTTGATGGCTTCATATGATGTATAGTTTGCTGTAATTCCTTTTTGTTAGTAAAATTTAAAATTTCCTTTTGTCATCCAAATTTAATATTTCGTTGTTGCAACATTTTTTATAATATAGTCTAAGTATTACAAATATGGACTTCTTTAGTGGGTAAGTATAAGTATACAGCCAAAAGTCGTTAATTCGGACACCCATAATCCGGAATGATCTATAATCCGGACCTCAAAGCTACAAACTTTCTGCGCATGCATCGCGTTGACGCATGCGCATAGTAAGACCTTTACGGCTGCGAATATGCGTGTGTGCATAATACGTTTACGCATGCACGTTTAATGTATAACGGACGGTATAAGCTAAGCTAAAATTATCTAATTCAGTTAATGTTGCAGATTACGTTGTTCCTTAATCTTCGAATTGGATCCGGCTTATTATTTTTTGCAGACTGTTAGAGCAATTTTATAAAAGTAAGCTTGAACTTTCGATTACGTCAAATAGAATTTCCGATATATATTTACTAATATGTAAAGGATCTACAAAGCGAAAGTATGTTTTGAAATCTGAAATCTGTTTATCAATTTCACACTGCGACGGGGAGGGGCCCCCCTCCCCGCCATGAGTAAACATTCTGCGCATGCGTAAATGCATAATACCTTTATGCATGCGCATATGCATTTACTCGTGCGCATTATACATTTACGCATGCGCGTTTAATGTATAATGGACGGTATAAGCTAAGCTAAAATTATCTAATTACCTATTTCAATTAATGTTGCAGATTGCGTTGTTCCTTACTTCTAATTGGACCCGGCTTATTATTTTATGAAGACTGTTTAGAGCAATTTTATAAAAGTAAGCTTGAACTTTTTATTATGACAAAAGAATTTCCGATTCTGGAGCCGCCAAAGATCTACAAAGCGAAAGCATGTTTCAATGTCCAATCAAACAAAAGTGGAATTGCTGCAAAAAATGGATAAAGGCATATCCTTTTGTTTCTCTAACCATTCCGAAATCTTTTTATCATTTCACACACGCTGCTCTGTGGGGGGAAGGGAACATCGCAGCGAGCAATGAACTGGAAGTTGACCTGTCAGCATTATCCTTATCTTCAGGGCAGATGTTTTTTATTTTATTTGGCTTATAATTCCTTACCATACCTTCCTACCTCTAAAGATAAAATTCAGAAGATTTCTCCCCAAATTCAGAAGATTTCTCCAAAATTCAGAAGAACGAGAATTAATATCATGCTTTGATATTAAAAAAATAACAATTTA